CTGGGATCCCTTTTCATAGTTTTCCAGAGGTAGTGCTCTTACCTACTCAGTATATGGCCTTCTATGTTTATTCTAGTCTGCATCTGTATGAAATTGACTTCCCTGGCATAGATATGGGCAATGTATTGTGTTGCTCCATTCTCATACCTTCTTTCTTTTTCTCCTCTCCTCTAACCCTTGACTCAATCTTCACCTTTCTCAGAAAGCCTCTGGAGATTGACATGACATTTTCCCTTCTCTGAATTTTCAAGGCGTTTACAACTTGAACCTTTGTACTCCAGCCTGTATTCATTGAGATTTAAAACATTTAATTGTATATATCTCTATCTCTGTACCTGTACTTTGTTACAATATACACTCAGGATCGTTATTTTTCTTTTTACTGCTCCCAGGATTGGATATTCAGTAGGTGCCAAGGGGAAAAATGTTGTTTATTTTATTTTATTTGAGACAGGGTCTCACTCAGTTGCTCAGGCTGGAGTGCAGTGGTTCACTGTAGCCTCTACCTCCCAGGCTTAAGCGATCCTCCAACCTCAGCCTCCCAATTAGCTGGGACTACAGGTGCACTCAGCTAATTTTTTAAATTTTTAGTAGAGATGAGATCTCATTATATTTCCCAAGCTGGTCTCAAACTTCTGAGCTCAAGCGGTCCTCCTGCCTTGACCTCCCAAAGTGCTGAGATTACAGGCATGAGCCATGGCAGCATGCCAGAAAAATAATTTTGTTAAAAAGAAATCAGGTGGCTGGGCGCGGTGGCTCATGCCTGTAATCCCAGCACTTTGGGAGGCCGAGGCGGGCAGATCACTTGAGGTCAGGAGATTGAGACCATCCTGGCTAACACAGTGAAACCCCGTCTCTACTAAAAACACAAAAAATTATCTGGGCGTGGTGGTGGGCGCCTGTAGTCCCAGCTACTCGGGAGGCTGAGGCAGGAGAATGGCTTGAACCCAGGAGGCAGAGGTTGCAGTGAGCTGAGATTGGGACACTGCACTCTAGCCTGGGCGACAGAGCCAGACTCCCTCTCAAGAAAAAGAAAAAAAAAAAAATCAGGCACACCCGGGCGTGGTGGCTCATGTCTGTAATCCCAGCACTTTGGGAGGCCGAGATGGAGGCCGTAGATTAGCTGAGGTCAGGAGTTCGGGACCAGCCTGACCAACATGGAGTAACTCCGTCTCTACTAAAAATACAATAATTAACTGGGTGTGGTGGCGCATGCCTATAATACCAGCTACTTGGGAGGCTGAGGCAGGAGAATCGCTTGAACCCAGGAGGCGGAGGTTGCAGTGAGCCAAGATGGCGCCATTGCACTTCAGCTTGGGCAATAGACTGAGACTCTGTCTCAAAAAAAAAAAAAAATAAAAAAATAAAATAAAATAAAAATCGGGTATGGAATAGGGTTCTTTCAGCTGAACACAGGCTTCTAACTGGTATTCAAGAACTGCTGGGGTTCACTTAATGATACCTTTCTCTTGCCTGTGCCCACTCTTTTATATTCTTTTTTTTTTTTTTTTTTTTTTGAGACGGAGTCTGGCTCTGTTGCCGGGGCTGGAGTGCAGTGGCCGGATCTCAGCTCACTTCAAGCTCTGCCTCCCGGGTTCATGCCATTCTCCTGCCTCAGCCTCCCGAGTAGCTGGGACTACAGGTGCCCGCCACCTCGCCCGGCTAGTTTTTTGTATTTTTTAGTAGAGACGGGGTTTCGCCGTGTTAGCCAGGATGGTCTCGATCTCCTGACCTCGTGATCCACCCGTCTCGGCCTCCCAAAGTGCTGGGATTACAGGCTTGAGCCACCGCGCCCGGCCTCTTTTATATTCTATTAGAGTAGAACTGTAATTTTTTTCACCTCCAATCATGTCTTAAACTATTATGTAAGTAGACAAGAAAAATAAAACTCTACCAAGGTAAAACCTGAACTTCTGGATTGAGAGGACTTTCTTGAGAGATCTGGGTTTGAACTCTGTAGAGTCCAGCCCTACAGGGCCTGTGGTTTTCTCTTCATGTGCAGAAATAAGAGATCGTAGAAATAAAGACACAAGACAAAGAGAAGAAAAGACAGCTGGGCCTGGGAGACCACTACCACCAAGACGCGGAGTATGGTAGTGCCTGGCTGCGCTGCTATTTATTGTATACAAGGCAAGGGGTCGGGTAAGGAGTGTGAGTCATCTCCAACGATAGGTAAGGTCACGCAAGTCATGTGTCCACCAGATGGGGGCCCTTCCCTATTTGGTAGCCGAGGCGGAGAGAGAGAGGGGACAGCTTACATCATCATTTCTTCTATGCATTTCTCGAAAAGATCAACGACTTTAATACTTTCACTAGTTCTGCTACTGCTATCTAGAAGGCAGAGCCAGGTGTACACAGCGGAACATGAAAGTGAAGCAGGAGCGTGACCGCTGAAACACAGCATCACAGGGAGAGGTTTAAGCCTCCAGATGGCTGCGGGTAGGCCCGGCTGATGTCAGGCTTCCCACTGAGAGGTGGTGGAGCAGAGTGTTCTCTAACTCCCCAGGGGAAAGGGGGACTTCCTTTCCTGGTCTGCTAAGTAACAGGTGCCTTCCCAGGCGCTGGCGCTACTGCTAGTCCAAGGAGCCCTCTAGTGGCCCTGGCTGGGCGTGACACTCTGGCCTTCTGGTCACTTCTCACTGAGTCCCTTCAGCTCCTAACTCTGTATGGCCTGGTTTTCGTAAGTTATAATTGTAAAACAGAACTTATTAATACAAGAGTAATGCTACAAACTAATGATTAATAATATTCATATATTAATGAATAATAATTAAATTACAGGCACTGTGGCTCACACCTGTAATCCCAGCACTTTGGAAGGCTGAGGCGGGCAGATCACGAGGTCAGGAGATCAAGACCATCCTGGCTAACACGGTGAAACCCCGTCTCTACTAAAAATACAAAAAATTAGCCGGGCGTGGTGGCGGGCTCCTGTAGTCCCAGTTACTCGGGAGTCTGAGGCAGGAGAATGGTATGAGTCCGGGAGGCGGAGCTTGCAGTGAGCCAAGATCGCACCGCTGCACTCCAGCCTGGGTGACAGAGCGAGACTCTGTCTCAAAAACAACAACAACAACAACAACAACAACAACAAACACATATATAATCACATCTATGTTCTATTTCTAATATAACTTCTTATTTTAATTATTTTCTTTATTATACTGGAATAGCTTGTGCCTTTGGTCTCTTGCTGCAGCACCTGGGTGGCTTGCCGCCCACGGAACTCTTCTTCACTTCTTTTTTTTTTTTTTTTTTGAGACGGAGTCTCACTCTGTTGCCTAGGTTGGAGTGCAATGGCACGTCTCAGCTCATTGCAACCTCCACCTCCTGGGTTCAAGAGATTCTCCTGCCTCAGCCTCCCGGGTAGCTGGGATTACAGGTGCCTGCCACCACGCTCAGCTAATTTTTATATTTTTAGTAGAGAGGGTGTTTCACCATGTTGGCCAGGCTGGTCTCGAACTCTTGACCTCAAGTGATCCACCCACGGCCTCCCAAAGTGCTGGGATTACAGGCGTGAGCCACCGCGCCTGGTCTCTTCTCCACTTCTTACAAACTCTAGAACATCAGGCAAGCTAGTATTTAATTACTTAGAACCTTGAAGTACCTATTCATAAAGTCATTATAAGAATTGAAACACACACATATACACACATACACATAGTGAGTGTCTAGCACATCTTCTAATTTTAAGTTTTTTTTTTTTTTTGAGACGAAATCTCGCTCTTGTCCCCCAGGCTGGAGTGCGATGGCGCAATCTTGACTTACTGCAACCTCCGCCTCCCAAGTTCAAGTGATTCTCCTGCCTCAGCCTCCTGAGTAGCTGGGATTACAGGGGCCTGCCACAACGCCTGGCCATTTTTTGTATTTTTAGTAGAGACGGGGTTTCACCATGTTGGCCAGGCTGGTCTCGAACTCCTGACCTCAGGTGATCCACCCACCTCAGCCTCCCAAAGTGATGGGATTACAGGTGTGAGCCACTGCGCCCGACTTATTTTAATTTTTTTACTTTTTTTTTCTTTTTAATAGTATTCTTGCTGTTATCTCACAGCACATCTTTTTAAACCTTCCATTTGTGTATTAAAAAACAGAGAGTCAGGCTGGGCGCGGTGGTTCATGCCTGTAATCCCAGCACTTTGGGAAGCAGAGGCGGGTGGATCACCTGAGGTCAGGAGTTCGAGACCAGCCTGGCAACATGGTGAAACCCCGTCTCTACTAAAAAATACAAAAATTAGCCTGGCTTGGTGGTACACTCCTGTAATCCCAGCTACTCAGGAGGCTGAGGCAGGAGACTCTCTTGAACCCGGGAGGCGGAGTTTGCAGTGAGCCGAGATCGCATCCTGGGCAACAGAGTGAGACTCCATCTCAAAGAAAAAAAAAAAAGAAAACAGAGACTCAGAGGCAGGGAATGGTGGCACGTGCCTGTAATCCCAGCTACTTGAGAGGCAGAGGCAGGAGGACTGCTTGAGCCTAGGAGGTGGAGGCTGCAGTGAGCTATAATTGTGCCACTGCAGCACTCCAGCCTGGGCAAGAGCAAGATCCTGTCTCAAAAAAAAAAAAAAAAAGGAAAAGAAAAGGAAACAGGTTTTGGCCAAGTTAATAGAGCTTCGCACGCTGCTTTGCACATATCAGGCACACACATATTTGTTGAAAGAATGAGTTTGTTTTCAATTTTTCATGTACAAAGTTGTAATACACATTTGGAAAATATATCTTTCCAAACTTCGCCAGTATTTCTAGATACATGTATTCCTAGAAGTAAAATTGCTGAGGTCAAAGAGTCGGCCATGTTTCGGAAAACTGCTATTGCGATCCAGTAGGCCCTCAATAGACATTTCCATTGCGAATTTATTTCTCGCGATGCCTTTCGGGAGTTGTAGTCTTTGCGATGCTTGCTGGGAGTCGTGGTCTGAGCCGGTCTCAGGAAGCGGGCGTGAACTAACCCATTGCGCGCCAGGCTTTAGGACCCGGCGGGGCGCGGGGACGCGGGAAGGGTCGGGGAGTTCGGGAGCGCGCCCGTGAGCCCGGAGCAGCGGCGGCGTCGGTAGCGTCGGGAGCGAGTGGGCCCGGGAACGGCGTGGGTGGTAGAGGAGGAGCCGCGGGCTCGGTAAGCGGCGGCGGCCCGGCCCGGCTCGGGCCTCGAACCTCACCAACCCTGTGGGTCCTGCCATACTAGGCCTTGGCCCCTAGGCGGTTCTGGGGGCGGGGCTTGCGCTGGCCGAGGGGAAGACGGAGACGCGAGGGGAGAGGGAGGGAGGACGGCTGCTGAGGCTGCGTGTGCCGGTGAGGGCTGGGCCTGGGGGCTGCCGAGCCTAGAGAGAAACGGCTTCGCTCCTCCAGCAGCCGGTCCCTTGGACCCCTGGTCCCGGTCACGTCACTCCCTCTCCCCTATCCCTGCGAGGCCTTCTGGCTTCCCAGGCGCTGACCTTTGACCCCGCCAGCTGCCTCGAGAGACTCCTCTCCGGTTGTTCTTGGTCCTGGGGTGCGGGCGTGGGGCAAGGCACCTCTGAGAATCTCAGGGCTAGAGGAAAGCCGGTTTGTCCGAAGTCTTCAGGTGTCCTGGAAGGGCTCCAGTACTGTCCCTCTCCAGGCTCTGACAGGCTTTAACCCACCCTTCACACGGAATCAGTGAAGCTACTGTGTTTTCTTCGGGTTACTCGGCGAGGGCCCAGGAAAGGAACCTGTTCCCAGGAGGGTATAGGGAAGGAACAAGTAGAGAGAAACCTGGTCCCCTGGAGAAGGAGAAGCTGGGGCGTGCTGCCCCTGGCGAATGGGGAAGCAGAAACTTGGGCCAGACCCAAATGTGTGTTACTGGATCATCCACAGTTCTTCCTCTCCAGAAAGTTTTTTTTTTTTTTTTTTCGAGACGGAGTTTTCGCTGTTGTCGCCCAGGCTGGAATGCAATGGTACGATCTCCGCACACCACAACCTCCGCCTCCGGGGTTCAAGCGATTCTCCTGCCCCAGCCTTGCGCCACCACGCCCTGCTAATTTTGTATTTTTGGTAGAGATGGGGTTTCACCATGTTGGTCAGGCTGGTCTTGAACTCCAGACCTCAGGTGATCCGGCCGCTCAGCCTCCCAAAGTGCTGTGATTACAGGCCATTTTATTGTTCGTTTTTTTGAGACGGAGTTTCACTCTTGTTGCCCAGGCTGGCGTGCAGTGGCGTGATCCCGGCTCACTGCATCCTTCGCCTTCCAGGTTCAAGACATTCTTTCTCCGTCAGCGTCCCGAGTAGCTGGGATTACAGACGTGAGCCACCACGCCCGGCTAAGTTTTGTATTTTTAGTAGAGATGGGGTTTCGCTGTGTTGGCCAGGCTGGTCTCAAACTTCTGACCTCAGGTGATTCACCTGCTTTGGCCTCCCAAAGTGTTCGGATTACCACCGCGCCCGGCCAGAAAAAGTGAGCTTAGTGAGAGCTTTTTCTTTGCTATCCTTTAGTTACTTTGTACACTAGGGTAAATATGATTTGTGTCCCTGCCCGAAATTTAGCAGGATTGGAATTATTTTGGGTGTGCCTTCAGTTGGATTTGTGTGCACAATAGCTTCTATGTGAAGGCTTTCAGGATATCAGATCACAGTCGAGGGAAAGAGAGATCCCTCTTGTTACGACTGTAAAGGGGGAATACCCATTTCAGTGACTAGAGAAGCCTTTACGGTGTTTTCTTTTTTCTTTTTTCTTTCTTTTTTTTTTTTTTACAGTGTTTTCATTGACTTTCAGGTTTTATAATTTATTGTTCAACTTTTTTTTTTTTTTTTTTGAGACGGAGTCTTGCTCTGTTGCCCAGGCTGGAATGCAGTGGCGTGATCTCGGCTCACTGCAACGTCCCCCTCTCGGATTTAAGCGATTCTTCTGCCTTAGCCTCCTGAGTAGCTGGGACTACAGGCACGCGCCACCGCGCCCGGCTAATTTTTGTATTTTTAGTAGAGACGGGGTTTCACCATATTGGCCAGACTGGTCTCCAACTCCTGACCTCGTGGCCTCCCAAAGTGCTGGGATTACAGGCGTGAGTCACCGTGCCCGGCGGACTTGTTCAACATTTGTATAATTAAAACAATGTGGAAACTCCAAAGTAGTCATTATGAAATTTGGAATTTCACATTGAGCACAGTTTAGGAATCTGTAACATTTGCTGAAAATGGCCAGAAATTGATCCAGGATATAGGAGGGTGAACTGTTTATTCAACACATTTATTGAGCACTTACTATGTAACTGGATTTAGGTTAGAAATTATGAGTATCTTTCCTCAAGGACATCAGAGAAACATATCGATATGAAATTTTTTATTACTTTGTGTTACATAGCCACATAAAGGCATTAGGCTGGGCGTGGTGGCTCATGCCTGTAATCCTAGCACTTTGGGAGGCTGAGGCGGATGGATCACGAGGTCAGGAGATCGAGACCATCCTGGCTAACACAGTGAAACCCTGTCTCTACTAAAAATACAAAAAATTAGCTGGGTGTGGTGGTGGGTGCCTGTAGCCCCAGCTACTCGGGAGGCTGAGGCAGGAGAATGGCGTGAACCCAGGAGGCAGGGCTTTCAGTGAGCCGAGCTTGTACCACTGCACTCTAACCTGGGCGATAGTGAGACTCCACTTCAAAAAAAAAAAAAAAAAAAAAGCATTTATACAGTGTGAAGGGAATACTGCTGTTGCTTGGGAGAGGCAGGGAAATCTTTGCAGGAGGAAGTACTTGAGTTGGGTGTTGAAGGATGAGTAGGAGGTTGCACAAGTAAGAAAAGACATTTTGACTGGGTCTGGTGGCTTACACCTGTAATCCTAGCACTTTGGGAGGCCTAGGCAGGTAGATTGCCTGAGCCCAGGAGTTTGAGACGAGCCGGCTCAACATGGCGAGACCCCGTCTCTAAAAAAGAAAAATAAAGACTGGGCGCGGTGGCTCAAGCCTGTAATCCCAGCACTTTGGGAGGCCGAGATGGGCGGATCACGAGGTCAGGAGGTCGAGACCAGCCTGGCTAACACGGTAAAACCCCGTCTCGCCGGGCGCGGTGGCTCAAGCCTGTAATCCCAGCACTTTGGGAGGCCGAGGCGGGCGGATCACAAGGTCAGGAGATCGAGACCACAGTGAAACCCCGTCTCTACTAAAAATACAAAAAATTAGCCGGGCGCGGTGGCGGGCGCCTGTAGTCCTAGCTCCTCAGGAGGCTGAGGCAGGAGAATGGCGTGAACCGAGGAGGCGGAGCTTGCAGTGAGCCGAGATCGCGCCACTGCACTCCAGCCTGGGCAACAGCGTGAGACTCCGTCTCAAAAAAAACAAAACAAAACAAAAAACAAAACTCCGTCTCTACTAAAAAAATAACAAAAAACTAGCCGGGCAAGGCAGCGAGCGCCTGTAGTCCCAGCTACTCCGGAGGCTGAGGCAGGAGAATGGTGTAAACCCGGGAGGCAGAGCTTGCAGTGAGCTGAGATCCAGCCACTGCACTCCAGCCTGGGCCACAGAGCCAGACTCCGTCTCAAAAAAAAAAAAAAAAAAAAAAAAAAAAGCATTTCATTTGGAGAGAACAGTACCTGCAAAGGCTTGATTAGGGTGTGAGAGGAAAAAAATTATTTTAAATCTCAGAAATTTGTCCAAAACAAGATGTGTGGTGGGGAAATTGCTAGGAGGTGAGACTGAAAAGAAAATGGGGAGTCATTGGAATTGTTTTTCTCCTTTTTTTTTTTTTTTTAGCTTCTGAGGAGTTTTTTTAAGTTAGGGAGTGACAGAAATGCAGATTAAAGTAATGAAAAATGAGGCAGTGAGACTGATTAAGAGTTGTTGCAGTTGACAGAGAGTCTGAAGAAAGTGTAGCTGTGGGAATGAAGAGGAGGGGATTTTAGAAATACTGTACTTCTGAGATTGATTCAGCTTCTTAGGAAGAGAGTGGGCTAGGATTTCTAATTTCAGAGAGTGGATGTGTGGGGATTTCATTGACAAGATATGGATTAGAAAAAGTAGAGCAAGTTTTTAAAGGTTAGGGTATGGAAAGAGGCATAGGGGATATGGTGTGGTATGCCGAGCTCAGGTTGCTTGTAGGATGTACAGATGGAGACCTTAGTAGGCAGCTGTAAGTGAGAGACCTGGTGAGCTTAATATATTGGCACCAGCTCTGAGTGAGGGCATATATGAAAAAAGTCTTGGGGAAAAAATAATGTTTTTTTTTTTGTCTATAGGAAGTAGCAGATTATGCACTTCCTCCACTTAATAATGAGCTTCTCAAGGCAGGGACTGTAACTTAGTAATTTTTTGGTCCCTTTCTGTCTTACACTATGCTTGTGTTATTTATAAGATCTGAATAAGTGTTATTAAAGTAGCAGGAAATCAGTTTACTTTGTAAGATTGCAGGTACCTTTTGGGCTTCCTTTAAGAAGATTATGGGGTCAGGTGAGGTGGCTCACGCCTGTAATCCCAGCACTTTGGGAGGCTGAGACTGGTGGATTGCTTGAGCTCAAGAGTTCAAGACCAGCCTGGGCAAGATAGCAAAACCCTGTCTCTACAAAAAATACAAAAGTTAGCTGGGTGTGGTAGTGTGAGCCTGTAGTCCCAGCTACTCAGGAGGCTGAGGTGGGAGGGTGGTGTGAGCCCAGGAGGTTGAGGCTGCAGTGAGCTGTGATTGTGCTACTGCATTCCAGCTTGGGCAAGGAGGGAAACTGCCTTTTGATTGGGTGGGGGCGGGGGCTGGGGAGAAGATGATTTTGGGACTTTATCTTATAATTTTCATTTTAATTGAGATTGTGTTCATGAGGCTTATATAATTGAACAGGAGAAGAAATGAGAAGATATGAGTCACGGTGTGCTGTGTGAGGAAGTTCAGGGCTGGAGCAGGAGACAGACAGTATTAATTTATAGGAATCTCCTGCTCATTGACAAGATCTTACCATGAATTTTCATTCTGGGATGTGTCAGAAAATGTGGTTTCCAATCGGAATTTCCTGAAATCCTGTCAATCTGGAACTGGTTCCCCCTTTGGAAGGAGGAATGCATTCCTTCTTGTGTAGGATAACTTGAAAGGGAACCTAAAGTCATGTTTATTTAAATGAATGAGAACTCATCTTCATTGTCCATTTGTAACATTAGGCAAACTCAGTAGATGTTGCTGGGACCAGATTGA